TGAAAGATTCAATTAGCAAGATTATCGCCATTACCATATAGGAGACGTGCACTTTTGCCGGGCAGATTCTCGCTTTCTCGCAGGTCAAATGTGACCCCACCCCTTTCCGAACCCCTGGATCGAAATACGCCTAGGAAATAGAGCGATGAGCCTGTACGTTGGCATCAGTTGTCTGAGTTGTCCCTCTACTCTGTCGTTTTTTATCACTTGGCCTCATCCGTTTGCTTATTTTCTTCGTTGTGAGCCCATGCAGAGCTCAAGAGCAGCTGATAACGATGTTTAGGACTTTTTTGGTGGTATCGTTCTCATTTTGCTCGCTGACGGGCCCAATACTATCTATGGAATACTACCACTCTGTAATATTGTGCAATATCTCTCCGATTGGATTCCTTCCTGACTGGACTTGCACCTCCATTACACAAGCCGCATTACATTGATCTTTTCAGGCCTGACGCCAACAGCCTTCTTTCTCATCCATTTTTGAAAAGAACAAGGAAGACGCTCCCTGATCTCATGCCACTTGCTCAAACTTTGGACCAAGTTCAAAGAGGTGAGCTGAAGGATTTACCGAGTTTTGAGCACGTGTTCAACTATTTTTTTAGTACCAAGTAAAAAGGATGTCACTGTCGAGGAACAAAATGTTCCTGAATGGGTATTCTGAAGCACAAGAGTATATATGTATTTATGTTTGTATGTGACTTTTTTTTATTGAACATTTGTATGGTTCAAAATAGCCATTGCTGTTTTGCGACTTCGAGTGTTCCACTTCAAGCAGTAAAATTTGTGCTCTTTTGCACTTTTACCAAGATGAATGCCTTTGTCCTGCTTTTTTTCAAGCAGATTTTTCGAGTAACACAAGTGTACGATAATATTGTACTTACCATTAGTAAAGACATTGAAGAGCATACATAACCTCCCCTTCAAAAAGCGAGAAAGTGTCGGGTGCAGACCAAACACCACAACTGACGACGGCCTCCAAGTAAATCTGGTTAGAAGTTGTTCATAGTGATAGCTGATTTCTGGTAAATGATAGTTGTAATTAGTGACAATGATAGAATACAACTGCAACAGGCTAATCATTTCATTGGCAGAAAACATTAACATTTTGTGAAGGCCGTCGTCACTTGTGGTGCATGGTCTGCACCCGACACTTTCTCGCTTTTTGAAGGAGAGGGTATATCAGTAAGCAATATAGTGTTACACAGCGCGCGACTGCATAACTAATATGTATAATGCGAAGAATCCCTCAGTACAATACAAATAAGAAGGAATTGCATCCCAAATAGACTAATGGCCGAGTGCTTACCCCGAGATGTCGAGCACTTTCAGATGACTGCCGGCGAGCAGATCTGATTTCGCCAAGGATTTGAGAAAATTGATTCCGTATGGAGAACTCTTTTGATTGCATTAGTATCATAGTAGGGCGGATAAGCACAAAACATCACTGGTGTTTGCTGAGACCACTCGACGAGCAGCCATGGGAACAGTGGGGGAGGTGGCAGGAAATATCCTCTGCTTCCGAAAACCAGAAGAGCGTCAGGTGCAGAAACAAGGCCGTCGCCACTTGTGTTATATGGTCTGCACTCGACGCGCTTCTGGTTTCCAGAAGCAGAGTATGCATGTGGGTTATAAAAGGCGGAACTACCTATCTCATTGATTATCATTGTCCTAACAGGGATGCTAATTTTTACCAAAATGTGCGCCAACAAACCATTTTTTACTGTAGCTTCGCATCCAGAATTTCGCTAGAGTGAATATCATGTTATTTTACAAGGATTTGTGCTCCACTCAGCAGATTCTGTCAGGCGAAACTGCCCGTGTTGACGTGCGGAGATGTGAACTTGTTCGGTAAATTACTCGTTTTATTGCACGTTCGGTACCATGCGAACCCTTCCAATCTTGAATCTTCTCCCGACTAGTTCTGTTCCATCACTCTTTACGCATGCGCGTTTTTCGTTCCGGCGAGGAAAGCCGAAAGGATTCGCTTGAGCATAGGAACCATTCAGCACGCGGATTTCTTTGTTGAATGTATAAGGGATCAAAATTAGCCAAGCAAGGGGCTAAGTTAGAGTATCAGAAGTAGCAGTCAGATTTAACCTCTAGAATGTCAAATGAATACTATTTCAAAACCGATTTCAATAGCTGTACTCGAAACGAAGTCAGGATCATTTTGGCTCAAGTTTATTCCAGTAAAAAATTCATCCGTCTAATTAAAGTGAGCTAATTTTTTGTTGTAGACTACGTGCAACTTCTTCCTCTTGTATTGAAATGCTCAGATAATAAAGAGGAAACACATGTGACTAACTGGATAATGCATATTTGTAAGATGCACCCTTCATAACATATTTGACCAATTTGTGGACCACGCTGTTTACAATAACGTTGAATGTGTGGTTTCCTCATGCCAAAAAAATGACTGAAGTGATAGTGGCATGCATAGCTGCAGAGGTCTTCTAACAGTAAGAAAGTACGTGAACTGGACTCCGCAGAAATGTAAAGAATAACCTTACATTTTAACCATTCTTGGTGAAAATGACTGCATGGCGCACCCGAAGAGACATCGACAACCCGTTCAGAACATCCCCAGCAGAAGTCCGAAGCTGTTCAGTGGGTGGGATAGAGTAGCCCACGAGTATCACAGAAGTGCCCTTGTCGCGGCTAGAAATGCGCGACAATGGCGCTAGGGCTTTACAAAAAACTTCTGGCGACTAATCTTAACTTACGGACGAGATACTCGCGTACCTCCCATGACACCACGTAACGTGGATAATGTAGCGTTCAAGGTGCACGGGCTAGTGGTGCCATGGAGTAAATAAGTTCGTACAACTCGTCCGGCCCGCCCCTTCCTCAATTCGAGGATGAAGAGAGAGTATCATTGTTCAGGGCTTCATCGACAGTTTCCTTTGCTTTTTTCATTTTAGTCATTCTGGCATCCACAACCGCATTATCGGTCGCTGTGAGCCTACAAACTTGATATTGAATATTGGGGTGTCGCTTTCATATTTTAGGCTTCCACTGCCACGATATGCAGCTCATTTATCGCGCGGTATCTCTATGTTTGTTGAAAAGGAAAAGTGAGTAAAGTAACTTCATGAGATCGAGGGCATCATCAAAGTTGTAAACATGTGAATAAAATCACAGGATGTGAGAGCGTGGGCGTTAGAAGGTACGAGAAACGGCCTAATATCGAAAAGACGTAATACAAAATGAAAACTGAAACAGCTTACATGGGGACTGGTGATTGGATGCCGAAACTCGACTTTGAATGGATGGTAAGAACAACAGTTAAGAACCCAGGTCAGATCGATGACCTAACAAGATTACAAAACGAATAAATGAGAAATCATCAAGGATAATACATCATCATACTTATGTGTGAAACACTTAGTACTGTTAACAATATCGTTGAGGCAACGCATTTTCATAAAGTTAAGTAGTAGTCTAGAAAACCGTTGGTAAACTCAAGAAAAGCTATAAATATCTATCAAAACTCGGGTCAAGACAAGACGAGATGAAGGAATCACGTAGGAGACGGCCCGCAACCATAGATCATGAGTATCGAACAGATGTTCGTCAACCAACTGCGACTCGCCACAGTTGATCGTATTAAAAGAGCTACAGGGAAATTTATTGATAAAAGTTGACCTACTTCTAACAAACTATTATGTAGTTATGCACAGGATTCAGAAGAACGAGAAGGAGAAATCACAGTGAAAAGAACCGTGAGGACAGAGAATATGCTCTGGTGACAGCGAAGAGCTGTTGAAATTTATGCACCGGATGTTACGAGGCCATAGGGACAACTAGTCAACGGAAATAGCGCCCTTACCGCCCGACTTCCATGCCAACAAAAGAAGCCACATCCCTTCATTAGTCGTCATCATCCGACAATGGTTCGAACGTCATCGTGGTGGCGACAGGTTCAGTTCCGGCCGTTCTAAGCAACTCTGCGAGCGGAGGCGCCAATGACGGAGGAAGCGGGGGAGGAGCAGTTGACGATGGTGCCACAGCCAGCGGAAAGTCGAAATCAAGCGCTGAGAACATCCTTGAACCTTGAGAAGCTGAAAACCACAAAGTCATAGAATATTTCGATAACGCGTCTGTTTTAAAATGTCAGAAATAGATCAATTTTAGTAATTTAAAGAACAAATCATAAATCGCCTGCTTGGATCAATTTGAAGAGTGGGACACAAGAAAGTTTAATCTGAAAGAAAAGCTAGCAAACAATTCCAGTTATGCAAATGTCACAAAGGTTAGAAAAGCTGGACGAGTAGTGAAACGATGCTTCTTACAAAAGGGTCTTTCAGGCAAGCCACGCTTTTTCAAAACGGTTTCTTGCATATTGTAGGGACGCATGTAGGGAACACAAAACCATGTTTCGTTTTCGCTGAACGGTTTTAGCAGTACCAAAAAAAAGGTACTGTTAATGGTTCGATCCCCCGTGGCGACTAAATTTTGCATTTGGGTTGGCGCCTACGGTTTGGTGCCAAATCGCGCTAAATGTCAAAATCAGATGTCATATTCATCGTCAGGACCATTTTGAAGCCAACAAGTGGCCGCCAACCTTGATTGCAAAATTTAGTCGCCGCGGGGGATTGAACCATCAAGGGTATCATTCACCACTTTTTTGGTACTACTAAAACCGTTCAGCGAAAACGAAACATGGTTTTGTGGTCCATACATGCGTCCCTACAATATGCAAAAACCGTTTCCAAAAAGCGCACCTTGCCCTGAAAGACCTCCCTTGTTAGAGGCTACTGCACCGTCGGAATATCACCTCTCCGTGATAATGACATTTGTGCCTTTGATGTTTTGTCAAATATTGACTCTTTTTGTAAGAAAATAAATCTGAAATTCGAAATAACACCAACGTACATGCTGCAGATGTCGAAGGAGCTTCTGCGCGTGTAACAGGGCTCGATGGAGCCCCATCATCTGGTGAGATCGGTTCATATGTTGGGGGACCACTAACTGTTGAGGTGGCGAGGAACTGAAGGGTGGGAGGTGGAGGTATGGCTGATGATGTGGAAGTAGTCGGCTCCTAAATGGTATTGAATTTAGTAGATTAGATGAGCAACAAAATGATATTATGTACCTGGAAAGCAGAAACGGAAGAGAGGACTCCAGATGTGCTTGGTACGGCGGGAGAGGTGAGAGACTGCACCCCAGTAGAAGGAACCTTCAAATCAATCATTCAGAAAGATCACCTCAATGCAAAACTGCAAGTAAAGGAGAGTGGAACGTTATGGATTACCTCCGACTTGACGCATACAGCAGGAGAGGCCATGGGTTGCGCTTTGGTGAGTTGGCTGGCAGGGGAACAAGCGTTGAGCGATTGCTGGAAGTGGGCATAGACGTTTGATGCTGCAGATGAAGTAGCTGCTGACACTGATGGCGACATCTGAAGCGGAATCTATGAGAGTAGAAAAAAACGTGATAATATTATAACCCGAATCCATACATGTTGTGAGCTCATTTGTGGTGAGCCAGTAGCGCCATGGGAAGTGTTCACGACAAGAGCACCGTACGACGGTACCCCTCCCATAATCGACCGAGCTGCCCGATTCTGAACAAAAAGAAAATTGGCGTAAGCTCGAACATCACTGCCAATTCCACTTGTTGAGGACTCACCATAGGAGGTCGTTGGATCCCAACCCCTCCCGATGTTGGACTCACAGGTCTTCTTTGAGGGTGACGAGCCACAGACACTGGTGGAATGTTTAGCATTTCAAGACCTGATATAAATGTTGAATGAATGTTGTAAACTAAAAATAAAACAAGTATCGAATCTGATGGAAAGCATAGTGTTTTGCGAGACAAAGCATCGAACATGGTGAGAGATCAAACGTCAACAAATATGGCTACATCATTCCAGAGTTGACTTTGCTCATTGAAAGGACTATGAAAGAAGTCTCATAAACTTGAGATTCCGAAACTTTCTTCACGGAAAAAATGCGCTGCTGAGAGCGGCCACGAATGAGAAACCGAAATGTGTAAGGAAGACAAAAGAAGGGTTTCTGTCTTGTGGATTTAGTACATGGTGAATTCAACCCAAGTTGAGGCCGATGACAGCACAACAATTCATAGGTTGATGATGTGAAGAAAAGGGCGGGAATTGGCTGTCGAAAAGGGGGAGGGGAATGGACAAGAAAAGAAAAGAAAATGCAAAATCGTCTGAAGTCGAACCTGATTTCCTGCGAATTTCAGGAGGTGCAACAGACGAATGTGGGGCGGCATGTCCCGCTTGGGCCGCAGCATGGCTGTTGGTAATCTCCTCGTGAACCACCTGAAAATAGCGTAGGTTTTCAGCAAACGCTTAACATTGCCTATGACATTCGGTTTTTAGGGAATGAACATGAAAGCAAACCAGTCAAATTCCACTAGGAAAAAGCATAATTTCGCAGATTTCATTAGATAGCTCTGGTAGCGCTCGAATTAGCGGGAATTGGAGCACTAAGGCTGGTGTCAGAGTTCGCGATCCGTCGAAGATTTTGCTCGTTTTCGCGATTTTCGCGATTTACGCGACGGGTCACGGAAATCACAAGTGCCCGATCAATACTGCGGGATTCCACTTGTTTCATATTCAGTGTTTCAAATGTTCAAATGGGGCACTTGCACTTTTTGCACGAAAATTAGCGAAACCTGCGACGGATCGCGGACTCTGACACCAGCCTAACAGCTCTACCCTAAGAAGAGTGCAGTATATTAACAACTCCAATATCGCCTTGTATACTTCAACAAGAATGTGCTACGCTTCTATCCGTGATCGATCCTTCACCTATAGCGCGGAGAGGCTGTGAACGATTCAAATCAAATGCATTCCGAAAGCTGGGTAAGAGAAAAACAATACCCGGTAGCGCATAGGAGCGCAAAATAGCGCACTGCACCACTCCGCGCCTTGATGTGCCAGCGCCGGTGGCTAATGTCTACGGTTTCAAAATGCTACATTGTGTGCCTTTCACACATTTTGAATGCTTTTAGTACAGTACTCCGAATGCCTTTAGTACATGCGTGGTAACCTTACTAGAGCTTGCGAACATAGAAGAATTCTTGCTCTTCAAATGCAGTTATGCGGAACGGAAAGTTTACAAATCAGCGGCTGTACTAATCATGTCATTTCCGTCATTAATCATGCGTGCCTTTTTGCACGCGTGGATACAAAAGAAGTGAGCCTAGCATTTTAGCGCATTGTTAATATTGCAAGTATTCTGAACTAAAAGTACTACCACTACAACTGTTTCCATCAAACACGACTAGACGGATCTTAGCTACCGTATACAGCGAAAAGGTAGGTCAGCAATGCTTCAAAAGCAATGATATTAGTTTTTGAAAAAGAATGATCAAGAGTGAGACTGACAGTGACCTTACTGAAATCAATCTCGCCTTGTAGAAATACAGGTGGTTTGGAAATATTTAACAGATCATGATTACCAATACCTTGTACTTAGCTACACTTATGACAGAAAATTTGGCTAGAAAACGGGAGTCAAAACTTACTCTATCCATCACATTGTTGAAACTTCGCTTGTTGTCACTCCATTGAGAATTGTCCCTATCCTTAGCCGACGAAGAACCAGGCCAAGGAGAGTGAGCACTCGTCGGCTGTAGATTGATGAAGTTTAAGTCAGATGCCAAAATCATCAAAAAAAATATACGAACACTTACAGGTTTCGAATCAGCTGTTGGTTGGCGGATGCCAATGAGATTCTTGTGTTGCTGCTGCTGCATTTGCAGATGGAATTGTTGAGCTTGAGCCTGTGCTGCTAACGACATTGTTGTTGGTGGCTAAAAATCAACATAATATTTAAGACTTGAAGTTTTAGGCTCGGACTCCTCGGCGCCTACCTGTGGCGTCTTTACAGCTTGCTGTTGTTGTTGTTGCTGTTGTTGCGCTTGAGCAAAATCTTTCACTACTCCTTTGCTCATGCTACCAGAGCCACCAACAATCACGCCGCTTGTGCCACCGCTATTCAACAGCATTCGTTGTTGCCTGATCAGCAGCTCACGACTGAAATTATTGCAAATGCGTCAAACTCCATAAACTGACATCATAATATCTTGAATAACGTACTTCTCACGCAAATTGTCAAGCTTCTTCTGGAAGGTGAGCCGGGAATGTTCAACTACACGCATATTGTCCTGGGCCTGTAATCGTATGCCTTTTCTGGTATTTCTTTTTATTTGCATAAGGAAGAACGTGAGTGGAAAATTTTGAGTGCACCCATTCCAACCTACCTCTTTGAGTTCTTGCTTGGCTTGGAAATCCTGCATGGTTGAATTGATTCGAAAAGCGGACGTGATCATTTGCTCTGCTTGCTGAACAAATAACCCTTTTTGTTTACGAATTCTTTACAACAAGTCGTTTGTGGTATTGATATCATTCCACTCAAGATTTTTATGAACAAGAATGGAAGAAACATTTATGGACAGCTACGCATGTGCTAATACTATACCCAACTGAACTATGACCGTGATAATAGCATGAACCAGCCTTCTAAGGGTGATGGAGGACGGGACAGGCGAGGAAGGTCACATACCAATTATGACTGGGGAAAATGTGTAGAAGCTGGTGGAGAAGAGACCAACTGCTGGTGGACGGAGGCACTTGTCATAGAAGGTGGGATTTCCCCAAAAAATCTTATAATTCGGTTCCAAGAAGACCGTGGAGAATTAGGTAAAGGGCGACGGAGGAGAAGTCTAATGACCATAATGGGCGGAACTAAATTTGAGAATTTTGGTTAACCCCTTCCTTAGCCCAAGGAACCGTGCTATGAGCGAGATGGCTTGCGGCGTCAAGTTAGTCTTAATAGGTTCCTTAAAGGCAAACCCGGAATTAGCCCGACTAGTAGGAAGGATACCGCGGGAAATTGTAAGTCCGTACCTACCTAGATCACTCCAGCTTCGTCGCAAAAATTGCGCGGTTAGGGCGCTAATCCTTACGGGCCTGCAACCATCGACCCCCGTTGCAACGCTTCCCACCCACCGCGATTGATGAGATCAGCGTGCTCTCTCGAACGACGTGATCTCTCGCGTGTTTTGTCTTCTTTGATCGCCCTGTCTCGCCATCGTACCACATCCGACCTTATTGAAGGTTAAGGCCTTAATTTCAGCGTTCCCAAAGATTTCTCTTGCTTTCCTTCTCCACTTTCAGGTCGTTCCGCAGCTAAGCTATCACTACGAAGCGCTATAGCACCAGTTTAATCCAACGGTTTGCCTTTAACATGCTCTCAAAGGCAACGACTGCGATGACGAAGGGTGGTGGGGTTTTGATGACGTCATTGAACGTAATTGGTGTATATGAGGCGAGAACAGCGGCTTTATAGTAGGTGCTCCTATCCATTTGCCTTTCTAGCATCACGCCAAAATCGCCGCGATTACACTATCGCCAAGTCTGACATCCTCCAATGGTGGAAGAACGCTAACATAAGGGGCGGTCCCCACCACACCCAGCACGCTCAGGAGTCTAGCTTACCAATGCCAGTCAGCAATATTATCAAAACCACACCTCTCCAACCATCTTGATCATGAAATCAAAAAAGTGCTAGCAAGCACGCAGTAAGTACAACCATTATGTTGGTCGTATGGGTGAAAATGTAGTTCGGGGGGGACCCTATCTAATCGAAGTGGAGTAGCGGAAGACACTCATATCTAATCAAAGTATAGTTGCGGGAAGGCACTCATATCTTATCATATCTTTCACTGATTAAGCGGCAAACGACCACTTCGTACTTGTTCCTTGTCCTATGGCAAAAACGGCTGACTCTTCACTTTCACCAACCCTTCCTTGCGACTGATGCAAGCCCTTGGCGAAAGGGCCTTTCAGGTATCCGATTTTGTATGGAATCCCGGGTTGGTATCCATATCTAATCGTGCACTCAGAGCCTGTGCTCTGAATGTTGATTAGATATGACCGCCCTTCCGCAGCTCCACTTCGATTAG